GGAGGAAGAAATCACAGAGGGGGATGAAGGAGGAGGGAAGGGTCGATTCTGGGGAGGAGGGGACAGACAGAGCCATAGAGGGCCAGCCCTCAGCCTGACCGGATGGGGGTCGTCCCCCAGGCCGCAGGGGAAGGCGATGCCCTCAGATTCCACCACCTGCCACCCTCTAACAACCCTTCCCCGCTCTCCAGGCCCCTCGGCTCTCCTCACCCTCCCCTCTCCCCAGCACACACAGCAGCCCTCCAGCCTCTTGCACGCTCCTTTGCACGCCTGCTCACCTCTCTCCCCTCCCTGGGCTACAATTTTGCACAGTTTCGCCCTCTCACTGTCTTGCACACTGCGCCCTCGCTTCCGGCTTGCGAGGCCCCCTCAGCTCTCCAGCTCACACTCAGTTTCCCCGGCACACCGTGCGTCTCTTTCCCCACGCTCCACACCCCCTGCTCTCTCAGACTCTTGTTTGCACACGCTTTCTCCGGGGCGCCCTCCCTTCCACCCCTCACTCCCGAAAAATCTCTGGGCCCTTGCTGCAGACACACTTGGGACACCCTTCCCCTCACCTTCTCACAGACTGTGCGCCTCTCCCGACACCCTCACCTCCATCCTCTTGAAGCACTTTCCCCTCTTATTGTTGCACCCCCGCATTCTCACCCTACTCACCCCTCCCTCACAGGGACACTGCCGCCCCTCCCGCTCTCCCACTGTTGCTTGCACCCGTGCCTCCCAGGAACCCCCGGGAACCGAATCTCTCGCAAGTGCTCACGCCTCTCCGCTTTGCCAGGCTCCCGACTGCCTTGCACCTTTCTTTCCCCAATCCTTGTCCGTCTCCATTGTCAACTCTTGGGTGAACCTTCTGGCATGCTCGCTCTGGCGCACTCGTCCTCCCCACTGCTCTCTTGAAGCTTTCTCCTCCTCCTTGAACAATGTTCTTGCCTTCCGTGGCCCTGCTTGCACACCCCTTCTTGAATTTCTGCTTGTTCTTGTCAGCTCCTGGGTGACTTTTTCCACCTCCCCTGGGGAAGTCTACTACCTTTCTTTTTGCACACTCATCTCATTGCACACGCGCTCTTCGGCTGTATTGTTGTTTCTTTTCCTGGCACTTTTTTTTTTTTTTGGTCCCGAAAGACCAGCTCTTCCGGTCGTTCACACTCTGCCTATTCTCTTAGCTCTTTACACTCTTTTTCTCCTTCTGGCAAGAGAAGACCCTACGCACACTCACTTCTTGCCCACTTTGCTTCCATACTTCCTCCTCTCCCTTCCCCGGGCTTGGCCTTCTCACCTCCCCTCCTCTCTCTCTCCCCAGCCTTCCGGTCCATCCATTTTGCACGAAGACACCGCTCCCTCGTCTCCGAACCTTTCTGTCTCTTCAAGAAACTCCTCCCTCCAGCATGGCTGTTCCTTCCCGCACGCCTCCCCCTCCCTTTATTCCTGGGGCTTGGGAATTTTAAGCCACCCCTTCCCCTGGAACACCCCCTCCCCTACTGTGGGCAAAGGGGAGAGGGCATCGCCCTCAGGTCCCCCCCCCCATATTCAGCTGCCAAAGAAGAGAGCTCCCCCTCCTTCCCCCAATTCCATTCCCCCTCTGCTGCCCTCTACCCCCGAGGCGGGGGCGCTCCGTCCACGGGGGGGAGAGTGCTTGCAGCCCTCTCCCCTCACCACGTCAGGGATCTGCGGGGAACCTTGTGGGAGGGTCGTGGGAGGGGGGAGGGGTGGCGAGGAAGGGAGCGGAGGTCGCGCTGGGACCCTACCCGCCCCCTCCCCCTTGTCCGCAGGATGCCCCCCGTCCGCAGGGGGCCTGCGCGGCGCCCGTCTATCAAGGGCTTGTTCATTCTGGATGGGTGCCGCGGGGTTGGGGAGGGGATGGGGGTGGGAGGGGGGAGGGGTGGCGAGGAAGGGAGCGGAGGTCGCGCTGGGACCCTACCCGCCCCCTCCCCCTTGTCCGCAGGATGCCCCCCGTCCGCAGGGGGCCTGCGCGGCGCCCGTCTATCAAGGGCTTGTTCATTCTGGATGGGTGCCGCGGGGTTGGGGAGGGTATGGGGGGGAGGGGGGAGGGGAAGTTGGGGTGGGGAGGGGGAAGGGACTGGATGGGGGGCAGCGCGGGGCGAAGAGAGGAGACAAAGCAAAAAGAGGAACGATAACAAAGGAAAATACAAAAAAAAAAACAAAAAACAAAAAACCTAGAACACACACAAAAAAAGATCCAGAAAAAAACCTGAAATAAAAGCCCGAGAATTGTCTTCCAAGGGGGGTGGGAGGAGGAAGAGGAGGGGGGCGGATGCGGACGTCTGGTTCTCGCTGGGACAAGGATCGCACGCGTTCAAAGCCCCGGCGCCCGGGTCTTCCCTCTCTCGGGCCTCAGAGTTCATCCCTCAAGGGATTGGGACCCAGGCGTCCATTTCCAGGGACTGGGGGAAGATTTGGGAGGAGGGATTATATCGTGGGGGTTCGTCCCTACCCCCCATCACCTCCCACCCCCTGACTCCCCACCAAGATTTTGCAGAGAGAAATGGCTTTTGTACCAGGTCATTCTTTATAATTAAACTCACAGTATCCACCCCCTCGAGCCGACCCCGCCTCCTTCCTGGGAAGGCTACGCCCCTTTCCTTCGGGATTCCGGGTGGGTCGCCCGAGCCCGCTGGGCGGTTCGCAGGGGCAGCCGGGGCCCGCCCCCAAAACGTCAGACTTCCTCGGTCGGCTCCGCCCCCAGAGCCTCGAGCATGCGCCGTCGGACCAGGGAGCGGCGCAGGTGCAGGCGGTAATCGCCCAGCAGCAGTTCGTCGTTGCGTACGAGAAGGTGCTGGAGCCCGCGGAGGCGGAGCCCCGAGCGCAGTAGGCGCGAGCGAGTCTGTAAGTCCGCGACCGTGATGAGCCACCTGCAAGGGGGCAAGGCCAAGAGGAGAGGGGCGGGGCGGAGACGGAAGGGCAATCGCTGGCTTTGATTGTCCCAGAGTCCCTGCCTGGTCCCTGTTCGTTTACCAACTCCAGTCCCTCAACCCGTCACTACATCCCTAAACTCTCCAACCCTGCACTCTCGCCGAGGTCAATCTGTACTTCGACCCTCACCTGGGTCAGTCTAGGTCCCGTCTTCTCTCTCAGCCCGGCTCTGTCGAGGCTCCATCTTTTTAAACCGCCGCTCCAGGGCCCTATCCTCCTGCAGCAACTCCAGGTCCCGCCCCTTCAGTGTGGCTTTCAGGCCCGGTCCCGCGCCCAACTAGACACACCAGGCCCACCGATCACTCTGGCCCCGCGCCTGCAAAGTGCTCAGTCCCGGCTACGCTCCCGCTCAGAGCTGTTTCCCATGCTCCGACCACACACCTCGGTCTTGCGCATCCCCGTCACCACCTGGGTCACTGAAAGTCCGGTTCCTCACTCCAAATCCCACCTTCTTTTCCGATCTCACCTGACCCTGCCCCTTCACTGCGCCCACTCTCGCCTTAGCCCCTTCTCGCCCCTAAAAACCTCTCACTCTCAGCGGGGTCTGGATCCTTATACCAACCACGCCATTCTCCGGGCGCTCCTGGCCCCGCCCCCTCACTGCCCTCACTTCTCCGCCCCGCCCCTCACGGAGCTTACTGTTGGCCCACATCTCCTATTAGCTCCCGGCCACTCAGAGCCTCCGCCCCGCCCCACCTCTCACCGCCTTCACTCCCCTCCCGGCTCCCCCATCGCGTTCACCGCGGTCCTGCCAGTTGCGGTCCTGCCCCCGCCAAGGACTCACCGGTCCCGGCGCCCAGCAGTCCCACAGATGACGTTCACGTTCTCAAAGCGGATGCTCCTCACACGCCCACTCTCCATGGCCCCGGGTAACTCGGCCTCCAGCGCCTCCAGCACCTCCAGGTGGGTAAGGTCCTCTTCGGGCTGGGGATGTCGGAGAGAGAACCTCAGTCAGTGACACCCGGAGTTCAGTCCGCGTGCAGAAGTCCCCACCCGGGACCCCACCTGCAGAACCTGCCAGAGCGGGGAGGATAGGAATCTTTCAGGTAGAAAGGCATCTACTGCCATTCTAGGTCATTCTCCAAAAACAAAAACCAGTTCTCACCAAACCGGTTTGCCAAAAGTCAATGAACAGTTGACTGAATGATTCACCAATTTGGCCAACTTTGCCCAAATCTACTGAAAACTCTTCCAGCGACCTGCGTTGGATGGCGGCATTCTGGCAGCCCTTGAAGATTTCCGCGAGGATCTAAGCCATAAAGTTTTCCTTTTTTAGTCATATTAGCGTTTTAAGAACTATTCAGTTCTCAAAAAGTAAGGATCGTAGGAGGATTTGACATCTTGTCAATCTATTTTGCATATTCAGAAACGTATATTGATCATTAACCATGCCTTCAGTCTGAGATTACCGTGTCGAAGGCGATACCATGTCATGACATATAAAATTGCTGAGAAACCACAGTGAAATCATGAAATTGGTCACCTCCAGGAAGGCAAGCCTTGGATGTGTATGTTGTGTGTGTGTGTGTGTGTGTGTGTGTGTGTGTGTGTCTCATGTTCAAAAACACAAAGAAGCGGAGCAATAGGGTGGGGATTGGTCCCATAAACAAGAACAGCAATCCCTGTGTTGAGGTCGAGTCACACAGATGAGCTGAGGGAACACTTCCGAGGCTTCTGCCTGGCAAGCCTTGTTTAATTCTCAAATAGGTGAGACCTTAATAGATACCTCCTCTGAGGCAGGAATGGCCAAAGGATCCCTACCCTGCA